CTTGGAAAATTATCTTTCAAAACAGACCATCTATTCACAGGATCAGTCCCACCCGATAGTGAGTGAATCAGTTATAGGGGAAGTGATTGGTGGAGAAATAAATTGTTGTCTAAATTATACAGTAAGGGTTTTCTCAAAGTGAAAACAGATTTGAGCTCTGCTTAAGAAAAGAAAAAATCTTGAACATTCAGCATCAAAGTAAACAAGATGTTAACTTCCCTATAAGAAGCTGGCAGGGCGTTTTCCCTCTGGGTACACAATTTCATCAAAGCTCCATGCCTGAGAAATTAGACTTGCAAATGAAGCCAGTGTTCACCTCCCAAAGACCAATTCAAAGGTAAAAGCAAGCTAATCTGTGGTATACAGAGATAAGGAAAGCTCGTACTCAGATAACAGATGTCTTTGACCCGTTCGGGTAGCTTTCTGCTTCCAATCATCGACTAGTCAGTTCAAATAATAAAATACGTAACTTCTGTTAAATGGACAAATGTGTGGCTTTTTAAAAGCCAGAAATACCAACCATCTCTGAACCAGCGGATGTCCCTCTGGTGTTCCTGTAAGTCTGCGGTAAACGTGCAGTGCAGTGCGAAGGGCTCCTTCTCCCTGGAAAAGACGGGTTGCAAAGTGCTGGCAAAGTCAGCCTCAAGGCCTCTGAGTGACTCTGAATGAGAAAGAAGAGAATGCCCTAGGTAAGAAGATTAAGAACTTGGGGTGTGGGGTGATACATTCGTGTTTTTGGACTACAACTCCAAGAATTCGCTGGAATTAAAATAGCGTCCGCTATAATTTGCATTTTTCAGCATTCGTCCGGGGAGGGGCCTTGAAACCGATCTCCTGCAGATGGAGGAGAGTGTCGCTGTATAGGATGCTTAAACAATTAATTGTGCCTAAGTTTTCTATACCTGTGAGCATGGTTTCAATACATTTTGACGGGTAACTTTTTGAAGTGTTTTCATGCTTGTGGAACATAGAAACTATATAGGTGGAAAAAAGCTTGAAGTGTTTTCATGCTTGTGGAACATAGAAATGATATAGGTGGGAAAAAAGCTTGTAAAGACAGATAAGCTGATGTTGCCTGGAATTATTGGAACAAGAAAAAGATTTATACAGTACTTTGATGCTCAGATGAATTTTGATACAATTGGAAATGATGGTCTGATTACATTCTGGAATTAACCCTTTTTTCTCTGGGATAAATGCCAGCTGTCGTCCTTCCCTAGAGATTTATAAAGTTCAATAGGAATCTTAAGGAGATGTTCAGGCATCAGAATCCCTAAACCGACTCAAAGATTTACTATCAATTTCTATAATAGGCCAAAGTAAATACACCCAACAGCCCCCACAGAAAGAACTACACGCATTTCCTTACTTTTGTATATCTCCGAGTCAAATCCTGACTTCTTCCCGTAATACTCTACGGAACACCAAAGGAGAGTCGGTGGGTATAAGAGAAAAGGAAAATAAGAGAGAAATGTCTTTAGATAAAACTGTCAACAAGGGGGGAAAATCACAGAAAAGCATTACTCTTGACTGGGCTTACTCTTGACAAGCACGGTAGCAAACGAATAAGCTTCCCCATAGGCGTTTTTCACTTCCACACTGTATTCAGCAGAATCGTCCAAGGAGCATCTGAAAGTAAAAGGTTTTTACAAAAGCAAAGCTTCAAGCAATGTAAAATCACTGAGTTGACCACAGGTTCAAATCACATAGTAAAGGAAATTTTCTGGGCTTACTCTTGACAAGCACGGTAGCAAACGAATAAGCTTCCCCATAGGCGTTTTTCACTTCCACACTGTATTCAGCAGAATCGTCCAAGGAGCATCTGAAAGTAAAAGGTTTTTACAAAAGCAAAGCTTCAAGCAATGTAAAATCACTGAGTTGACCACAGGTTCAAATCACATAATAAAGGAGATGTGTGTCTCCTGCACTTTCAATGTGTTTCTTTAGAGATGGAGTATTCGCATTCGTCTCCCGGGGGGAAATGAATACAAATATTGCCACCATGTTTGCACTGCGCCAATTGGGGTAGCTTCCCCGCCTCCCTGTCCTGCCGGCCAATCCAGCAAGGAGGTGGAATGACGGGTCTCCGCACTCAGCTGCTGAGTGGTCAGCAGGGCAGGCAGGTTACTTCCACGATCGGCGCAGCGCGAATGACGATGGTTGAGCAAGCCGTGCCACAAGTGAGAAGTGGATGGCATGGTTCTTTTGGGTGGGAGGGCCCAATCAACCCAGCCACCTGTGATGGCAATATTCGTAGTTGTCTCCCACACAAATCCTTCAAAGCTGCATAACAGAGCCATCAGCTTGCAGATGAAGCCCGTGTTTATCCCCTCGTTCCCCAGTCACAGAACAGGAAGGAACATAATTTGAAAAATGTGGACAGAGGCCAGTTCATAGTAGGGTAAACAGATGTTTTGCCTCTGCTCCCAGCACGCATCTAGCTCTGAGCTGAAGAGGATCCAACAATATTTTGAGAAGGGACAAGGGAGGCTGGCCCTTCGGGGGGGTCTTGAGCTGCCCTTCTTACAATCCCTTACTATTAGCCATGCTGAGTTTCATTTCATCTGGGAGCTGAAATTAGCGCCAGGGGATCAAAAATTCCCCATTCCCTTCAAACACAGGTGGCAGATTCTGCGGACCCCTCTCTTGCTGGCCAGCAGTTCCCAAACAGCTGCTCAAAGCGCTTGTGAGAGGAAAGATTGCCCACTTTTGATGTGACGCACAGTGTGCCCAAAATCCTGATAGCGATGACGATGCCCAGCGTGCAGCGGGAGAACGAGAGGGTGGTGAGGGTGAGGGCGGCTGGCATTTTGCAATGGCCCAGGGGGAACATGATGCCTCCTGAGGCTTTCCTGAAAGAGACATGATGAGGGTCACTTTCCCAGCTTCAAAGCCCGCCTTACCTGCTGATGTCCAGGGTCAGCATTCCAAACTCGTTCTTCATCTTATATTTCCCTGCTGGAGCTACTCGGGGGTCAATCCGGACTCCATTTTTATACCTGGTTGGATGCAGAGAAACAGACCATCGTGAAATGACCGGGCCTTCGAGAATAGGGAGCACGGAGGTGGTTTGACTTACCAGGTGACGTGGGGTGGAGGAGAAGCCAAGACGGTACATTCCAGTTTGACGCTCATTCTTTCCCAGACGGCATGAGCTCGGAGGGGAATCCAAAACATGGGCGCCCGGCAGGATAAAAGCTCAATGACCTCCTTTTCCATTTGTGCCTTTGCTTCAGCCTAAGACAAAGACCACGGAGAGTTTTATCTTGGCGTTCTATAAATACACTGGCAGAAATGGAACAGCCAGCCACGCTCTTGTTCTCTCGTACAAATAAGGGAGGCAACTTTTTCTCTATCCTTTTTTTTTTTTAATTCTCTGGAGTCAACGGGTTCTGTGGCCTGGCCTAGCTTTGGTGAGGGCATGGCTACCTCAGGCAGCCATGGCCAGGGGGAGGGCGATCATACTGGCCTGGTGGCTTTTCCTAGAATCATAGAACAGTGAAGTTGGAAGGGATCCATAAGGCCATCAAGTCCAACCCCCTGCTCGATGCAGGAATACAAACCGAAGAATATCTGCCAGGGGGTTGTCTAAGTTTCTCTGGAATGCCTCCAGTGTTGGAGCACTCGCCACCTCTTGAAGTCTACGGTTCCATTGTCATACTGCTCTAACAGTTAAGACAATTTTCCTGATATTCAATCAAAATCTGGCTTCCTGTAACCTGATCCCATTGTTGTGTGTCCTGCACTCTGGAACCCACCATATGCCCCTCATTCCTGCCCTGATGTTGTTGCATCTTCTTGAGTTCTCCACCCGTATTAATGTTGACTTTTTGCAATCTTGCAGGCTGCCTTTAGTAGGTGTGCCTGGGAGGCACCTTTCTGGCCTGGGGTGACTGTCAGTCTATCCAGCACTAACCAATGATTCCCTCCTGGCTCTGAATTCAAAGAGAGCCCAGACACATTTCTGTATTTTGAAATAATAACAGTGTGCCATCAAGTCTGTGCTGATGTATAGTCCTCCTCAGAGTTTTCTAGGTATAAAATGCAGTGGTTGAATAGTGCCATTTGGGGTGGAGAGGGCGCTCTGGGATCACAAAGCCTCCCTGAGGCCAGATTGGTTGGTGCTTCTCCTGGGAGGGAATCAAACCTATTTTTAACACATTGTTTAATAGTTTACAGGCCTTTTCTAGTCTGTTTCGTTTCCTTTCCTTTCGATGCCTCGTAGCAAAGAGAGACTTTTGGGACTAAGAATTCGCCACGGAATATCAGCAAACATTCAGAGTTCTGTGCCGGCTTGGTTATTTCAGCTGTTGCTTCTAACCGCACTTGCTAATGCCTACAGGATGCATAAATTACTGCCGGACAGCAACAGCTGTATCCATGACCTCCTTCACAAAGAACGTGGTGTTAAAGATCCTCAAAGTGAAATCATTTACACACTTCGGTGCATGATTAAATCACACTGATAAAGGAGCGTGGACAGTTACCCTGCTTCTTGACCGAAGCTTCCTATCAGATTTTACCCACTTTTCGGGTGATCCAAAAGCCAACACATTGCGGTGCTTTTGACTTTGTTGGAGATTCATTTACAATCTTGCATGTTCTCTCTAGTTCTTGTGACTGGGAGAGACTTTTTGGCGGTTAGGACAATTGTCTATTCAGCATTAAGCAATTATTCCTTCCAGCCTTTGAATTCAAAGAGAGGCCCGCCTCTCTGCTAAGTGCTCTTTGCCTCTCTTTTCTGGCTGGTGGCAGTTCTCTGCTTTTGACTTTGTTGGAGATTCATTTACAATCTTGCATGTTCTCTCTAGTTCTTGTGACTGGGAGAGACTTTTTGGCGGTTAGGACAATTGTCTATTCAGCATTAAGCAATTATTCCTTCCAGCCTTTGAATTCAAAGAGAGGCCCGCCTCTCTGCTAAGTGCTCTTTGCCTCTCTTTTCTGGCTGGTGGCAGTTCTCTGTTTGCTGTGCTAAGTGCTCTTTGCCTCTCTTTTCTGGGTTGGTGGCAGTTCTCTGTTCGCTGTTGATCTGTTCAGTTGGTTGCTAAGTATGTGTACAGTAAAGAAAGCTGTAATAAAGTTTTATTTTTAATTTTTTTCTCCAAGTGATGTCTTAGAGTGAGTTATTATGATTTTAAGTGCCAGTAAATGAGAAAGGAGTCGCCTTTGGGGAAGCTATTCTCCTCTGTGGGCCTTGGCACTTCTACTGCGTTGCACAATAGTGTTTTATCAGAAATTCAAAACTCTGCAGCACATCATATTTCAAACAATCCATCCTAAGGCCATAAACTTCTCTGTTACCTTCCTCCTTAAGGCTTTCCGGTCAGCCTTCACACGCAGGAATCTGCAGTGCCTAATCACATCTTTCTCCAGCTTTTCCATGTCATTCCCAAAACGAACCAGCTTCTGTCCCCTCTTCTCTAACTCCAGAATAGCAGCCTCCCTCCTCATCCGAGTTTCCCTGAAGATGAAAAGCACAAAATATAGCCCCCTTCTGTACAAATATGGTTCCCATCCCATTGTTCACATACAGCTACCTTATTCTGCATTTTTTTGTTTTACAGATGGCAGATTTATTTCTCTATACAAACATGTATAGCCCACCCTATATCACAGGATCGCAGAGCAGATTACAAAGCGGTATAAAACAATTTTGAAAGATAAGGTATCTAAACCAAACAGCACAAAATTAAAACAACGTTTACACAAAAGCATTGCCTATAAACCTATACAGCCCCTGATCCTCAACCCTCAAAGAGTCTAATAAATTATATCTTGATTGGGCACCAAAATGATGCCAATGTCAGCAACCAATCATGTCTCCGAGGGGAGGGTGTGCCACGATTGGGTTGCAAAGACAGAAAAAGCCCAATTCTGTGTCTCCATATAATGAATTGTTGTCAATGGTGGGGCATGAAAGTGGGGCCATCACAGCAGATCTTAGTGATTTCTATAGGGAGAGGGGCTCCTTCACATGTCCAAGTTGCAACCTATTAAGGGCTTTATATAGTATTTATTTATTTACTTGATTTATGTCCCGCCCATCTGATCTGGTCGACCCCCATATCTGTGGGGCATCGATTCCAACTTCCTGCGGATGCAGAAAACCATTGCAAAGGCTACTATAATAGCCAGTTCTGGTAACTTCATTCTTAGAAATATATGTTTTGGGGATTTTTCAGACCATGGATAAATGAACCAGTGGATACTGATCCCACGGATACGGGGTTCCTACTGTTTATTAGATGGGCTGGGGAGGGGAAGAATATCTTAGGATTCTTCATAATAATGTCTAGATGTACCCTAGTAAAATAACAGCATTAAGCAGATATGTGTGTTTTATGTACATGGAGAATAACTAACTAAGCAACAAGATTTTGAGCATCACACTAGGGCGTCAGAAAATGTTTAGGTAGACAACATACCATGACATTTCAGAAGTCAGTGCGAGCGCAGACGCTATGGACAGATCGGAAAGTGTGAAGCCCTCTTCTTCCTCGCTTTTGCATGAAGGGAGGGGAAGCCAGGTGAAAAGAAATAAATACAGAGACAAGTTGTAGAAGGGGTAGTCCAGTTAATCTGTGCAAGCATCGTAGGTTAAAACAAAGTTTAAAAAAAGTTAAAAAAAAGAAGGGGTGGCACCTTAAAGACTAACTTTTCTATTTTTTAATGTGAGCTTTCTTGCACAAGTCCACTTCATCAGATATAAGACATGTCTGATGAAGTGGACTTGTCCACGAAAGCTCACATTAAAATATATATATATAAAAGTTAGTCTTTAATGTGCCAATCCTTTTTTTTTTGAACTTTGTTTTCACCTTCAAAGAGACAACCAATACAAGGGGAAGCGATATTACAAACACGGAGATAATATGAATAAGCTTTTCCGCATTGACAGATGGTGCCTCGAAAATAGGCCACTATCAAAACAATTATTGCTAGTAAAACAACCACAAAGAAAATCAACACTGTTTAAGAACAAGAAAAGTGAGGTGATCTGGGCTGTGAGGTGGGATGACTCAACCCAACATGGTTGAGTCACAGGAGGGCCGCCTGGGCCAAAATGTTTGGCGTGTAACCACCATGGTCACCGTCCAGAAACATCCACATTTGAGAAAGTTATTTTAAAGTCTACATCAAAATAGTATTTACAAAGTTACATTTAAAGACTCCGGTTTCCAGAATCCTCCAGTTTGGGAGTCGTAGCTCACCGTGCCACTGTTTCCAAGTTTGCAGGAAAAAAAGATTTTCATTAGAAATTTACCTGTTAATATTTACAAATTAAATTTGACATGATTTGCCGGGCAGGACCGATGAGTGGATTATTATAACAACCAGGTAAAACATTACCTAACATTTAATTGAACTGTAATCTAACTTGGGAGAAACAATAGCTTCCAATCCCCTTTCCATCGCTTGGCCTGATGAATTATTATAGCACGCTACCCGAACAGCCCTGTTAAATGGCTTAATGGCTAGGAATAACTGACCTTTTCCAATTTTTTTTAATAGCTGTACAGGAAACCGGGACAGCTGCAGTTTGAAGAACAGGGTCTATCTGTTTGCTTGTGGCGATATCACCAAGTTAAAACATAACAATAATCTCAATTTCCACCGGCATTTAATGGTTCTGATTTTAGCACCTATTTAATAGCTTACTGGTTTTAAACAGCTTTTACGCCTCAGCTGCTGATGTCCCAGGACTGAGGCGCTTTGCTTGATTATCAGCTGCATCCCCCCACTTTAATTAATTAATTAAGTTGATTTATATCCTGGCTTTCTCCAAGAATGGGAACTCCAAAGTGGTGCAGGAGAAGATTAAAACCAGCTCAGCCTCAAAACAAGGAGAGGTCAAAAACAAGGGGAAAACATAATGTGACAATACAATTGAAATAACCATCCTAAATCTGGTTGGTGAAGTAGCATAAATTAAGAAGTCCGTAAAAGCATTTTTTGTTTGAGTTGCATGTCAGATTTTGTGACTTGGTACATGATAGCAATAGCTACGTTGACTTCTTAACTTGGAGCAATTCAGCCTTGACTTATACGCCAAGTGTGTTGCTCTTATGAGCATAAGTACAGTAACAGGATTTGGGCTAATTTGTTTTACTGTATGATATTTTAGCATTGAAATCTCTCTATTTTATCTATGCCTGCATTTGTTTTACTTTTACCTTCTGCTCATCTTGCTGGATGTCCACCTTCAAAGCTGCATTTGGTGGGGACATGGGAGAGGGCCTTCTCTGTGGCTGCTTGCAGACTGTGGAACTCCCTCCCACTGGAGGCCAGCCTGGCCCCATCTTTCCTGTCCTTCCTCAAGCAGGCAAAGACCTCTCTCTTCAGGCAGATTTTCCCTGAGTGGCTGGCTGCCTGGATGGGGTTTTTAAATGGATTATTATGCCTTAATACTTTGAACATGTTTTGATCTTTCCTTTGTTTACTATATTTTTAGTGTGGTGTTTGTTTGATCTTTTTTAGTATTTTAGGTGAAAACAAAGGAACAAATAAATAGTGAAAAAAAATCCAAATTCTGGTGGCACCTTAAAGACTAACTTTTATATTTTTTAATGTGAGCTTTCATGGACCAGTCTACTTCATCAGACATTTTTAGCATTTCCATACTCACTGTTTTTAGTTTTCAAATATTGTCTGTAATGATGTCATCTACCTTGGATCCTTTTTAACGAGAAAGGTGTAGTAAAATTATTTTAAATAAAATAAAATAAATAAACTGAATAAGCAAATCAGCCTAGAAATACTGGATTTATTCATTTAAATGAACTGAATTAAATTAACCCACCTAGTTCTGAACTTTGATTTCCTTGTGGTGGAGCTCATTTGCAAATCTTGATGCCTCTCTTCTTTCTGTTCCTCTTCCCTGTGGTGGAAAAAGGTCCGGGTGTCCATGATGGAAGAATTTTTCCTGCCAGAACAATAAAAATCAAATTAACTATGTAAGCTCAGGTTAAACACACAAATACACATAACACACAAGAGACTTAAAAAACACTTAAAAAAAGAGGCATATACAAGTTTGGTACCCTGATGCCTTCTAGATTGTTTTCGACTACAACTCCCATCGCTCCATCCCATGGCACCCACAGTCAGGAATGATGGGACTTGTGGATCTGAACATCTGGAGCGCCTCTTCCACCCCTCCTGAAAACATTTAACGCTGCCTGATTTTGGAAGCAAAGCGAGATGCTCGTGGGGAGGGTGAAAGAAAAAGAAATCTTGTATTTATTGCTACAAGATTAAACCTAGACTTGAGTATTGTACAGATATTTCTAGCTTCCGTGTGTCCAAGTACACTGACCGGCTTTTCATTACAGGAGACCGAAAGGAGAACAAGGACTTGCTAATTTCCTTGAAGAAGGGGAAAAGCTGATCGAACCGCAGCTATCAGCCTGGTTGATGGCCTCTAAACAGTTTAAAATGTTCTTTAAAGAGAATTAGACAAAGTAGCTACAACACATTTTTGTTGCCCTAAAACCGATGTAATGGTGTTTCCACTTGGTATGTTGTTTTTTCCAAACGCAACTCTATTACAGCTTTGTTTGGCATGGGGAGCAGGAGAGAGGAAGCATCTCCTTTCAGATCACAACCTGGCCTGTTAACGTGTTGCTTCTAAAGTCTGAACTCTATCCAAGCAGAGCAAAGTCGGTCCCTTTCCTAGAGCTTGAAATAGGGAGACGGACAATGAAACTGCCCTTGGCCTGGGTCCATTTCGAGGGACCGGCTGCCAAAGGAGGGAGCCTGATATGCCGTTGGCCCTCCACTTTTAGGACCGCTTGCTGGCTCTTTTTAGATGCTGCCCGAATGCTTAGAAGATCAAATGCAAACAAATGCACAAAAGAGTATTATTTTGCCCCCATCCGAAACCCAGTTGACCGCAGCAGCCCTGGACTCCTGGCGCAGTGATAACCATATAAATAATAAGACTCTATTTTGGGGAGCAAACCTTATACATTCAGAAGTATGGAATCCAGGTCTTGGGGGTTCAGCTGGAGAATCAAGGCTGCAGCTTGGGAACTCTATGTCCTATGTGGAGCAGGGATAGAGGCAGAATTTAAAAATATATTTTAGTTCTCTCTGATTTCAAGTGCAGGATTACTACTGACTTTCTTACATGTTATCATACCCTCAATTCTAATTTTCAGAGGAGAGCATGGGTCCTTATGTAGCCAAATGGCACCGTCAATGGAAAAATAAAAACACAAGATACTGTCAGAAAAGTGGAAGTATATCCACAGGGAAAAAGACATAAAGAGAAGCCCCCTGAGACGATAAAAACACAAGATACTGTCAGAAAAGTGGGATCTCCAGAGTTTGTGGAAGTATATTCACAGGGGAAAAGGCATAAAGAGAAGCTCCCCGGAGAAGCCAAGGTGCAATCAACTAGCTGCAAAAACATGCACCTCGTTGCACCAGAAATCTCCCTGAAAGTGACCCTTCTGTCCGCCAAGGAATTTCGCTAACCTGTTCCTCCAAAGTAGAAGCCCTACAGCCGGACCAAAAAGATCCAGTTGAGTATGGTTTGAAGTTTGGCTGGAGTGCATTTCCTCGTGGATTGTGTGAGAGTCATAAAAAAGATGGTGATTATTCCCCCATGTGATCACACACCCCAGATTTCTCGGTGACTACGACGGGTTGACTGACTGTTGAGGGTCAACCGGAGAAGACAACTGAAAGGAGAAATGGGAGGGTGTATCGCTGGAGTGCATTTCCTCGTGGATTGTGTGGGAGTCATGAAAAAGATGGTGATTATTCCCTGGTATGATCACACCCCCAGACTTCTCGGTGACTACAATGGGTTGACTGACTGTTGAGGGTCAACAGGAGAAGACAACTGAAAGGAAAAATGGGAGGGTGTATCATAAAGCTCAGTGGTTTAGGTCTTTGACTGCAGAGCCCGAGGGTGGGAGTTCGATACCCCCGCTGGACCTCCCTGAGAGGGGCTAGACTCGATAATCCATGGGGTCCCTTCCGGCTTTGCAGTTCTAAAACGATGATGATGATCAGGGAGGAGGACATGGCCAGTTGACTACTGCATTGATCAAAAGCGTTCCACATTTGGTTGCAGTTACTGACTTGTTATACACCTGTACTGATATCTGTCTCTGGGAGGTTCAAAAAGAGGGGGAATTAAGAAAGTAATGGGGGAAAAACAGGGGGTTAAAATTTAAAATGGGAGATAAAGCAAAGGATAAATGCATCTCATGGAAAACAGCTTGCCCTTGAATGTAGTTATATATTTTTATTTGTTTATTTCTTGCACTAATAATTCCAGTGAACTCAAAATGGTTTCTTCCTTCCCACTTATATCTACACAGCAGTCCTGTACAGTAGACAACTCTGAGACATAACATTGAAATCACCCGGTGGGGATTTGAGACCAGATCTCCCAAATCCATCCTCCACACTCTGATTGAAGCATTTCTGGACCAAGAACCTAAGAAAAATTCAAGAAGGCAGGTGATGCAGGAGGTTGAAGGACGAGGGGAGATCAGTTCTCAAGACCACCGTAGTGTTCAGTTAAGAGAAGCTATCATGTGAGACTTCGTGGTTTTAACATGACGTGTAGGTTAAATCACACCAGCTTTCTCCAGTTTGATGCCCTCCGGACACGCCAGAGTGCAATTCCCATCGTGATGTTGGGGGAAACTCCTACAGATGGGAAGGGCACTTGGTTGGAGAAAGCTGGTGTGATTTGCAGAGGTTGTCTTAAAGAAATAGTTGAGCATAATTTGACTCTCTGGTTTGTCTCTTTCCACTTGATCTTGAAAACACACTGAATTCATGCTTTCGGACTTCGGTAGATGCGCATCAGCACATGGCTACCCTATTCAGGCGAGCATTTCAGGGATGAATTTGTTTGAAAGAATGCGTTTGGCAATCTCACCAATGTGGCTACAATCTGTAAAACAAAGCTTCTCCTGAACCCATTTTTAAAGGACATTTCTGCTACCTTTTCAGTTTTATTTTGTGTCGTCCTCCATTTGGAAACTTCCGCTTTACTTGGAACACTTGAGGTTGATCCTTTCCTTCAAAACTGTCTATGCTGAATGCAAGTGACAGGTTTTAAAATAGCCCGTGGGTTAAACTCTTGGGATGAGTGAAAACCAAATGTTCGGGCTTAACAACGCACATGTCCCTATCACTCTTGCACGGGGAAAGCTCAGAAGGCGAGCAGAGTTTCATCTCTGCAGAAGAGGAAGGCTTAGGGAAGACCATTGTTTTCTTTAATTCAAGATTAAAACCATTTTTAATAGTTGCGGGAAAGGCACAAAGACAAGAGAGGCGGCTCAAGAAGCTGTTAGGAAGTTGGTCTGGGGCAGTGGTTCCCAAATTTTGGGTCCCCGAGGTGTTCTTGGACTACAACTCCCAGAAATCCTGGCCAGCACAGCTAGTAGTGAAGGAGTCTGGAGTCTGTGAAGGACACTGTGGAACATGATTTTTTAAAAAACTGTTTCACACTCTGGGGACCCAAGGTTGGAAACCACTGGACTCTGTGAAGGACACTGTGGAACATGATTTAAAAAAAAAAACAATTTCACACTATTAAAAGCAGCTTCCACTGAACTACAAGTGCACTTCAAGAACACGTTGTTCCACACAGTAAAAAAATAATGTACATTAATCCACTGAACTACAAGTGCACTTCAAGAACCTGTTCCACACAGTAAAAAAGAACGTACATTAGCAATATATTTAAACCACAGATTCAAAACAATTGAGGCATGAATGAGGATGGGTGTGTTACTTGCAGTTTCTGTAGATCCTGTGAAACCAGCAGGTGCCAGTTTCAGCCCCTCATTGTTTGCTTTTATTGTTATTTTCTGTGTCTTCTGCAAATAGAGCCAGCCTGTGCAGCCTTGGGCCAGCTGCACAGTCCCAGGGTGCCCCCTAGAGGAAGGGGATGGGAATGTTGGTCTTTTCTAAATGGCTGTCAGTTCCCCTTGGCATGTTGGAAATGCAAAGGAAGTCAAGGAGCCTCATTTGTGTATGTGTGTGTGTGTGTGTGTTGATGGACTTCCTGGCTTGACATTTGACTGGTTCAGAAATAGCGCTCAACCACGGCTAAGCGTTATGGGCCCTTAGCACCAAATGCGGTGACCAGATCAACCACGCTCCTTCCTCGTAGCTTTCAGGGCCACAACCCAAGGCCAGAAGTGGGCGGGCTCTTGTGATTTCACAGAGGCAGGGCAGGCAAGAGTTGGAAAGCAAGCAAGCAAGACCACACACACAGCTACCTTCACAGTGAGCCCATGAGTCTCGTGAATTGGTGGGGATGACTGCCCAAGCTTCAAGAGAGGAAAGGGCAAGGTGTAGCCATCCAGGTACTCACGGACTGCAATTTGCAGCATCTGTCGCTATTGGCCATGCGGCTAGGGCTGACGGTAGTTGCTATGCTGCCTCTGGAAGTCTGCTCCTTGCCCATCCCTGCTTTAATGATATCTTGTGCATCAAACTAAATTGTTTATTCCCTATAGTATTGTATGGAGTTGCTTCCTTGCCTTGAAACACACAAATGCATGGTAGTCCCCTTGAAGTTCAGTTGCATTTCTGAACTCTAGTAAGCTTCATACCAAGGTCCACCCTCATTCAAGTCCCACCACTCCCCCAGCCTTGCATACTGGCATGAGGATTTCTAGCCCCAAACTCTGGGAAATCAAAGCTTGCCACCTGAGACGAACATAGTAAACTATGATTCCTCCTTGTCTTGTAAACCAGGATCACTTCTCGTTACCCACGGTTAGAAGTGCCAGGATTTGGCAAGCGTCCCCTTCCTGCACAACATGGTTTTAAGGACAAAATCATGACCCTGGATTTGCAGAGTATGTTGTCGTTTAGTCGTTCAGTCGTGGCTGACTCTTCGTGACCCCCTGGACCAGAGCATGCCAGGCCCTCCTCTCTTC